ATTCCCACAGGTACACAAGATTCGGAGAAGAACCCGCCTTGCAATGCCGAACAATTTGCGCGCCGGACTCGTCGTCATTGAAGCCTGGTTCGGGGGCTACTGAGGGAGTCCTGGATTAGGGGGTGTTCGGATAGCCGGACTATACCTTCAGCCGGACTCCTGGACTATGAAGATACAAGATTGAAGACTTCGTCCCGTGTCCGGATAGGACTTTCCTTGGCGTGGAAGGCAAGCTTGGCGATGCGATATTCAAGATCTTCTATCATTGTAACCGACTTTGTGTAACCCTAACCCTATCCGGTGTCTATATAAACCGGAGGGTTGTAGTCCGTAGGACAGAATCAACTCCATACACAATCATACCATACGCTAGCTTCTAGGGTTTAGCCTCCTTGATCTCGTGGTAGATCTACTCTTGTACTACCCATATCATCAATCATCAATATTAATCAAGCAGGAGTAGGGTTTTACCTCCATCGAGAGGGCCCGAACCTGGGTAAAACAAAGTGTCCCCTGTCTCCTGTTACCATCCGGCCTAGACGCACAGTTCGGGACCCCCTACCCGAGATCCGCCGGTTTTGACACCGACACCAGGCTTGCCGTGCTAAGAGGGCTTGATTGAACGTCCGAAGGTCTTTAAACCCCATTCCACCTTTTCCTTTAGGTCTCACCATAAAATCCCAGCTGACCCAATGTGTTTTTCGTTTACCTTTTTCTGCTTCCCACCAAAAGCGACGAGTCATTCTCATGAGTTCCTCACATAGCCCCGCTGGTACCTTGAACACGCTCATAATATAAACCGGGAGGACATGAGCGATCACCTTGATCTTTATTTCTTTTCCAGCCATAGAGAGATAGTTGTCCTCCCATTCCATTAAGCATTTTGCCAACCTCTCTTGTAGGCCTTTTAATTTACCCTTACTCATTCTGCCATCTGGTGTCAGGAGGCCGAGGTATTTAGCTTCAAAGGTTGCTTGCGTAATTTGCAGTGTACCCTTAATGCTCTCTTGGGTACTAGTTAGGCAGATCGAAGAGAACAAGATAGAGCACTTGTTAGGGTTGATCGCCTGGCCTGTTCCTTTAGCATATATCTCAAGCACATGTTTAACACGTTCTGCTTGTTTGTTGTCTGCCTTGAAGAACAACAAGGTATCATCCGCAAAGAGCAAATGGAAAATACCCAGGGCACGACGGCAAACCTTGATCGGCGTGATAGAGTCCTGGGATGCTTCACGATGCAACAGAGCGGAAAGGCCATCATCAACAAACAAGAACAAAAAAGGGGAAAGCGGATCACCTTGGCGAAGACCTCTGGATGGGCAGAACAAATCAAGAAGGGTTCCATTAAATTTTACCGAATAGCTCATCAATGTCACACAGGACATAATCCAATCAACCCATCGGGGAGCGAAACCCAAACTCTGCATCATTCTTCTAAGAAATTCCTAGTCAACCCTGTCGTACGCCTTTGATAAATCCAACTTATAAGTGCAATAAGAATGTTGCTCCTTTTTACAGTGCCCAATGGCATGAAAACATTCAAACGCTACCAAGACATTATCAGTAATCATACGGCCGGGGACGAATGCACTCTGGTTCAAAGAGATGATATCCCCAAGGATTGGACGGAGTCTGTTTAGCAAGCACTTAGCCACAATCTTGTACAGAACTGAACACAAACTGATAGGCCGAAACTCTCTAATTGTCTCAGGCTGATCTGTTTTCCATTGAGTTTGTCTCTGATGGCATGTGCCCTGTGGTAAAGAACAGCCGGACGGCCGCAGCAATCGTGTCCTTTTAAACCGCCCAGTTTCTTTGATAAAACCTCGCTGAGAATCCATCTGGTCCAGGGGCTTTCAGGGGACCTATTTGAAACAATGCGTCGCATATTTCTTGTTCAGTAAAATCCCTACAAAGTGAGTCATTCATTTCATCCGTTAATTTTCTATCTATCAAGCCAATTATCTCATCAACATTCAAAGAAGGATCTCTGGTGAACAATTATTAAAGAAGGAAGTGGCCATTAACTCCATGACCGAGGGTGTAGTCTGCCATACACCATCATCATCTCTTAGTTTTTTAATCTTGTTCTTCCTGGCTCGCCAAACGGAACTACTGTGGAAAAACTTCGTGTTTCGATCGCCCTCTTTGAGCGAGCTAATACGAGAACGCTGCAGCCACAAGAGTTCTTCTTTATATAGCAGTTCATTCATACTATCAGACAGTCCTTCTTATCTCTCGTGGATCTCCATTGGTCTGCACTAGGCGATCAAGTTTTTTACCCGGAAGTTAAGCGTGCTCAGACTAAAGGGGGGGGCACGCTTAACTTCCAAGTTCTATTCCCCCTCGTTTCCAAGTCTGCACTTGTTGTTTCCCTGACAATAGTAAGCTGTCAATCCTATTAACCCTCAGGAGTTTAGCTTGAGCATGAAGTCACACGTTTCACTGTTTGAGTTTGAAACTATTATTCTAAAAAACAATAATTATTTAGTAACACTAATATTTCTTGAATAAATAGTTTGACCATAGTTTGACCTGATTTAACCAAAATAAAAAAGAAAAGAAATTTGAGCATATCTTTTTTTCCTTAAAGAATTTGAGGATTCTAAAAATTTGCAAACAAGCCATAGGCAGTCAAAATCGGATGCGGATTTTCGTGCTGAACATTTTGATATATTATACGTTTTTTTCGGACATCGTATGCAAAAGTTATAGCCGTTTTACTTTTTCATAACATTTTTTTGCAAAACATATTCAAATTTAAGTTTTTTAATTTTCCTAACTAGTAGATGTAGTAATATAACTACATCTCGAAGGATTTTATTTTTTGAAGTTTCTATCATTTCCTCTTTTTTTAAAAACTAAAATGGCGATAAGGGGGGGGGGTTGTAGAGTTTGAGAAATGGGCCCTTTAGTCCCGGTTTGAGACACGAACTGGGACTAAAGGGCATCACACCCTTTAGTGTCGGTTTGAGACATGAACCAGGACTAAAGGGTGCGATGCCCTTTAGTCCCGGTTCGTGTCTCAAACCGGGACTAAATGATCCATTTGAACTGGGACTAATGCCTTTAGCCGCTCGAATCGGGACTAATGCTCACATTAGTCCCGGTTTATAATGCAACCAGAACTAATATATATATTGTGCTGTGACCAAAGCCCTGTTTTCTACTAGTGACGATAGATGGTCCGAACATGGAGAAACCAAATGGACCACACTAACATCCGAGAAAATGTCCCTCCACCAATTGTCAGCTAGAGCACGGTCCAACCTCACTTTCACGTTTGCTCTTCCCCTCCTTCTATTATCATATGTGAAAAGGAGCTCCGGCAAACCCAAGGTCATGGAACTCACAATCTTGTACAATTTCACGGAATGCTGCAATTTGGCTAGCCGGGCGTGGGGTGGCGAACATATGTTCGCACTGCCACGTAGCTTCAGGGCTGTTTGGTTCTAGGCCTAGGAGTGCCATACTTTGCCATACAATGTTTGCCAAACTTGGCTAAGGTTAGTTCTTCAAAATGAGAGTCACAAGTTGGCAAGTCTAAGGGAATCTTGCCACATTTTTTATGTGTATGTGATATGGGACCATAATATGGCTTGCCTAAGATGTGGTTTGAACCAAATACACATCTAAGTTGGTCAAACTTGCCTAATCTTAGGTGTGGCAAACTTTGGCAAACTTAGTCTCAAACCAAACAGCCCCTTCATTACAATCCCCCATGAGCATCCATGGAAAGTCGCTCGACGCTCGGATGTCAGACAAGATGATCCACATCCGATGATGGTTTTCAGTACGCGGTTCATCATACACACAAGTTAAATGCCAAAAGGGATCAGTTGAGGAAGCACGAATATGAGCGAGTTGCAGGTTCTTAAGTATAGAAACATTTCGTACCATGCCGATAGGTGTTATTTTTCTACACATGTGAAATTGTTACACCATCACAAAAAAAAGCTACATCATGCTCTTTTATCTTTTATTCTACAGGAAAAAAACATTTCATCGAAGTTAAAAAGTCACTGCAGGGGTGTCTATAATACCTAAGTAGTTAATCCCTACTAACTTTAATTCTTTGAACATGCATCGCTCTATATTGTCAAATGTGCCATGTTATCATTCGCTGAACCTATTTTGTAGCACATGCATACCTCAATATAATTATCCCATCTTGAATAATCCAGCGTACATGTATACTCTTTACTCACACATGACTGTTTTGGAAAATAATAATTTTTGATTTGATCATTTCATTTGTACAAAATTATTCAAAATTAATCTTTAAAATCCGCAGCAGCACGCGGAAGTCACCTAGTTACTGTAAATTTTCATAACAACATATTAGATATATTTTTTGCGGAAAGGATTAGATCTATTATCAAAATTTATCGGGTGTACAAAATATCTCAAATATAATAAAAATTATATAAAGATTCCCACCACTGGATGATCACTACCGTCGTCGGAGCGAGCCATCGACGCGTCGATGTCCCCGCTCCCCTACCGGATCTGACTTGACCTTGTTGATGATAGCCGTGAAGTCTTGGTGCATGTTCCCCTAAGGACCATCACCCTGGATCCTTAGTCATCGTCGTTGAACCCATGCATAGATCTGAATCATCTGAGACCAAATCTCGTCACATAACGAGAAACGCAAACCTCACCGCCTCAAGAAGACGACATGAATCTACGTCGGAGCTCCGTCGACTATGTCCAAATGGACGAACTCGAGAAGGATCAAAATCCAAAAGACAAACTCAAAGAAGTGCCCTCATCTCACTTTCTTCTCGGTTCTTGGGTTCTATTTTATAGCAGATCTGGCATTGTCTTCTACTCCATCCGTTTTATAATGTAGACGTTTTTTTGACACTACACGAATGTCAAAAAACATCGTAGATGGAGGGAGTATTCTAGAGCAGATCTGGACCACGAAACTTTGATCGGATGGTTCACAATCACTTCCTTCGCGGTTCGAACAGTTCGCCCGAGACGAGACGGGGATGCCTCCGCGGGCACCGCCGCCGGCGGCGTTCCCGTCCCTGGACGCTTACTACCTCCACCACCTTCGCTCCTGCTCGACGCCGCGCCACGCCGCCGCCGTCCACGCCCACATCGTCCGTGCCCACCCTTTCCCGTCCCTCTTCCTCCGCAACACGCTCCTCGCCGCGTACTGCCGCCTCGGCGGCCCCGCGCGCCGCCTGCTCGACGAAATGCCCCGCGCTAACGCCGTCTCCTTTAACCTCCTCATCGACGCCTATTCCCGCGCTGGACAGACTGAGGTCTCCCTGGCGACCTTCGCGCGCGCGCGCCGTGCCCCCGGCGTCAGGGCCGACCGGTTCACGTACGCGGCCGCGCTCGCCGCGTGCTCGCGGGCCGGGCGCCTGAGGGAGGGCAAGGCCGTGCACGCGCTGGCCGTCCTCGAGGGGCTCGCCGGGGGCGTGTTCGTCTCCAACTCGCTCGTCAGCATGTATGCCAGGTGCGGCGACATGGGACAGGCGAGGCGGGTGTTTGACGCCGCCGAGGAGCGGGACGACGTCTCGTGGAACGCGCTGGTCTCTGGCTATGTGCGCACTGGTGCGCACGATGAGATGTTGAGGGTGTTTGCTCTGATGCGCCGTTCTGGGATGGGCTTGAATTCTTTTGCTCTTGGCAGTGTCATCAAGTGTTGCGCTGGCAGCGATAACTCTGTGAGGGATATTGCCGCGACGGTTCATGGATGCGTGGTGAAGGCTGGGTCGGACTCTGACGTGTTTCTTGCGAGCGCGATGGTTGACATGTATGCGAAGAAAGGTGCATTGAGTGAAGCTGTTGCGCTCTTCAAGTCAGTGCTTGATCCCAATGTGGTTGTGTTCAATGCCATGATTGCGGGGCTGTGTCGTGATGAGGCTGCTGTCGGTATGGATGTCCTTAGAGAAGCGTTAAGTCTGTATTCAGAGGTGCAGAGTCGAGGAATGGAGCCTACCGAGTTCACATTCTCCAGTGTCATACGAGCTTGTAACTTGGCAGGTGACATTGAATTCGGAAAACAGATACATGGACAAGTACTGAAGCATTGTTTCCAGGGAGATGACTTCATTGGGAGTGCACTGATTGACTTGTACTTCAACTCTGGCTATATCGAAGATGGGTTCAGGTGTTTCAGATCTGTTCCGAAACAAGATGTCGTCACGTGGACAGCGATGATTTCAGGGTGTGTTCAAAATGAGCTTTTCGAGAGGGCACTGACCTTGTTCCATGAATTATTGGCTGCTGGACTGAAACCTGACCCTTTCACTATATCGATAGTGATGAATGCTTGTGCCAGTTTGGCTGTTGCAAGGACTGGTGAGCAGATTCAGTGCTTTGCCACAAAATCTGGTTTTGGTCGGTTCACTGCCATGGGAAATTCCTGCATACATATGTATGCTAGATCAGGGGATGTGGATGCTGCAGTCCGGAGGTTTCAGGAGATGGAATTACACGATGTTGTGTCTTGGTCTGCTGTAATATCAAGCCATGCACAGCATGGCTGTGCTAGGGAGGCTTTACGTTTTTTCAGTGAAATGGTAGATGCAAAGGTGGTGCCAAATGAGATTACCTTTCTCGGTGTCCTTACTGCATGTAGCCATGGAGGATTGGTTGATGAGGGACTCAGGTATGTCAGATCATCAATTTTCAATTATTCATACATATATCTTTATCTGAAAAAAGAACTGTATATGGTCGGAACTTTGAGGTTTTTGTGTTGCTGGAGTGTGACTTACTGTCTTATACTAGAATTATACATGTTTCTCATTTGTCCATTCCTTTCATCGTATCATGCAGGTATTATGAAATCATGAAAAATGAGTATGCATTGAGTCCAACCATAAAGCATTGCACATGTGTTGTTGATCTCCTTGGCCGAGCTGGGAGACTAGCTGATGCTGAGGCTTTTATAAGGGATTCAATCTCCCATGATGAACCTGTCATCTGGCGGTCTTTGCTAGCATCATGTCGTATCCATCGAGACATGGAGAGAGGTCAACTTGTTGCAGATAGGATAATGGAACTACAACCCGGTTCCTCAGCATCCTATGTAAATCTCTACAACATTTACCTGGATGCTGGGGAGCTCTCGTTAGCTTCAAAAATTAGAGATGTGATGAAAGAGCGAGGTGTGAAGAAAGAACCTGGTCTGAGTTGGATTGAACTAAGGTCCGGGGTTCACTCTTTTGTTGCCGGTGACAAGTGCCATCCAGAGAGCAACACAATATATGCGAAACTGGCAGAGATGCTTTCCAAGATTGATAAACCGACAGCCACTGATGCTTCTGGCACAAAGTCAGATGACATCACTAGAAACAAGCAAAGTTGGATGAATTGGCACAGTGAGAAACTAGCTGTGGCATTAGGATTGATTCATTTACCACAGTCAGCACCTATACGAGTAATGAAGAACCTGAGAGTCTGCCGTGACTGCCATTTAGCTATGAAATTGATATCGAAGAGTGAAAAGAGGGAAATAATCTTGAGAGATGCTATTCGTTTCCATCACTTCAGAGATGGCTCATGTTCTTGTGCGGATTACTGGTAGTGGCTACTTACTAGTGCAGTGGTTCCAAAGTTGAATCCTTGAAGATAAATCTGACACGTTGGCATACCTATTTAGTTACCATAGTTAGGAGTGAAAATCATTTTTCAGCAGAGGCCTAGGGAACGTAAACTCCTGAAGCTTTATAGCCAATAAGTTATTCAGGGTGTACGGCACCACTGTGGTGTTCTGATTCTTTAAAAGACAGTTCTCTGTATTGCTTTTCTCCCATTTAGGATTAAGATCTGTAGGGGCATATTGCAGCCTTGCGATGATTTAATCCTATTACATTTCTGCCAGCAGGAAGAAAGGCGCCTTAAACTCCTAAAAAGTGGCCTCCGCCAAACTGAATGGTTGAGTACACTGAATCACCTCCAAGGCATCGTGCTGATTCTCCTATTCGCCATTGACCAGATCCATCCCCTGTTAGGCATGGTGACAGAAGACCAGGATCTCCAATTAGAAGATATTCTCTCCTTCACCACCTGTAAGGCACACGTCGCCAATGCGGTGAGTTTTGGAAATTTCGTTCTTGTATCTAAGGTATTGTAATATACTGATGAATTGCTGACACTAGTCTTGCAACTGCCACCTAGGAGGGTTTGTGGCAGCTCATCACCTCGTAGATACTCACCCGGGCCTCCTAGAAGGCGGTAAGTCAATTCAAGCTTTGTTTATTGTTTGAGTTTCCTGTATAGATCGCTTATGTGCAATCTGTCTACCTTGTCCAGAAATACAGTATGTTATACATGGTTTGAGACCACTGTACAGCAGTATAATTTACACTGGCCTTATGTGTGCCATGTATCAGGAAGCATTACCTTCAGTTATGGACAGTGTTGTCTTGACATGTTTATACTTCACTATACAATTTTGGTCATGATCATGTCATTATTGTGTTAGAGCTTATTGATAATGCCTGGACATTTGGATGGGCAAGTCCATTACCATGTGCCAGTTATCTTGGTTTATTTATGAGATATCTTTGCTAATTGTTTCACAGTTTTTTTGTGTTGGCCTATTCGGTGCTGTACTTGTGTCAGAAAGTTGCAGTTAACTTATCTTGCTTTTATTAGCAGGTCACCACCCCCAAGGAGACTGAGCAGCCCTTCGAGAAGGTCACCACCACCACCTCCTCCAAGTCGTCATAGTCGCTCCCCTCCTCTTCACTCTTGCTCCAGATCAATTTCTCCATATAGGTAATGAAATTGTTGCTGCCTCTCTTCCTCGTTTTTTTTTTTGTTTTTGAACCGACTCTGCCTTGTAAATCTTCCAACGGAGTCCATCTCCTTTTGTAAATGATATACCCAATTCTCTCTGTGGTAGCAGAACCAGAGGACCTCTTACATTGAGGCTGGCGTGGAAGGCGAGATTCATCCAACTCTGCATCACCCAGTCCTCCGAGGAAGGCGAGTGCAACATGTGTAGTGGTCTGTGTAGGAAACATGACTAGTTGAATGCTTGCTGCTTGCTTGTGTTTTGTTGGCCATGCGAGGCGACCTTAGAGAGCATCAAGGAGCCGCAATCCTAGAAGGTCAGTGACTTTTTCTGGGTTTCTCGTGTTTTACAAGAATAAAATAAAACACACCAATGTACTCCCTCCGTCCGGGTTTATTGGGCCTCTTCGTATTTTGTGTCAGATGTTGACCATCTATAGACTACTAAAATGTAAAGTATATGCCATAAAAAATTATACTGTTGGATTTGTATTTGAAAGAGCTTTCCGACAATATAATTCTTGTGACATATAGTTTACATTTTGTTAGTTAATTTTTTAGGTCAAACTTTGGCCCAAAATAAGAGGGGGCCTAATAAATCCGAACGAAGGACGTATGTATCTACGGATCTTGAAAGAATTGTTTTTCTTCTGAAAGTAGAAGGAGCATCTCGAGCGACAGTGGGAACAGCAGCACCCGCCGTCCCGGAGGCATAGGTACTAGAAGGAAACTCGGGGCAAACTGGGGATAACCCGGGCCGAAACAGGGCAAACCGAGGGGGCGAACGATCATGGATGTGGCTGGATATGCTTGGTGGAGTCCGGGATTTCGCACCGAGAGGCTTTGACTGTGCATTGATTGAAAATCTGGACATTATTCAGTCTGTCTCATTTGAAAATCGATGAGTTTTTTTTTTACTAGTTGATCGTTCGATCTGCTCGTATGTGAAGTTGATATATTTTTTTTGTTCATGGATTGTTGGTGTCACATTTGGAATGCGCTTGCCGCTTGGATCTTCATGTACCAGTGTTTACTAAGCTTTGCCCAGCCTGCTCGAGAAGAGATCCATTTCGGTACCTGGGTCGTTGCCGTTGGTATGTGCCTGCCGGGCTTGTCGTTCGACACCTCCAAGTCGGAGAGTTACTTGGTGGTGAATCAATGGATGAATACCAGACTTTGTTGGACACGTGACAGATAGCCCATAGAGTGATCAAGATCTTTGTGAACTCTTCATTAGACATAGTCTCGAGCCTACGATATGGAAGAGATGGCCATTCCTTCGCGTCTGGGCAGCAAGCCAGCAACTCAAATACAAATCCGGCAAGGGCGGCGGCGGGGTATCTCTCCCCTACGCGCGATCTGGCTGGCACGGGACGGCCTGTGCGTGAAGTGGCACCGGACTACCGTGGGGTTCGGCGGCGCTGCGGGCGGATCCTGGCGGCGGCATGCACGACGCGCCGATGGCCAGAGTCCACGTTTGCAGCGCGGATTGGCGGCTGCGGGAGCGCCAGGATCTGGTGGCTGCGTGAGCCGTCGCGTCCGGTTCAGATCTTTCGCGATCTGGCGCTTGGACGCCGTCGGCCAGTGCGGGGTGGTGCTACTCGTCGTTGCCCAGGTTGGATTCTCTGGATCTAGAGCTCGGACGGATCTGCACTAGAGTCGCCCCATGGTGCTTTCTTCTCCGGATGGTTTTGTTTCTCGGTTTGTGGCCAGATCCGGAGCAGACAGAGGTTGGTGGTATAGGTTGGGGACCAGAGAAAACTTTGGTCGGCTAGCTCGACCCGACATCGGCGACGGCTTTGGCGTCGTTACCCTCCTTGGAGGTGAAGTCGAGGTCCCCTCCTATCCACCTCTGACCCACTCTTGGACGAAAGTCCAAAATCCGTCTTGGATTGGGCGGCGACGGCGCCCTTAGCGTCGTGTCCTCCATGGAGGCGCCGTCTTGGGAGGCTTGGGTGTTCGGGGGAGAGGTACTGTGGGTGGTGGGCTCTACATGGCAGCTCCTGCAGCGGCGACGGTGTGGAGGTCGGTAGGTGGAGCGGCGTTGGATCTACCGCGTCGACGACGACGAGTATTGGCGGCATGGTGTAGCTGATTCTCGACGACGGATGTGTCTAGATGGACGTGCGCAGGAGGAGGAAGCCGTCTGACGTCATGGTGGCATTGACGGCAGACAGGCCTGGCAAGTTTGGTACATCATTTTTGCTCTGAGGATGGACCGAGGGATGATGGAGGTGACGGCCCTTGCAGCGTGCGGTGGTCACTGGGAGTGTGCCAGACCGGGGTGGGACCCAATCCAGGTAGTGGCTTGGATGGGACACCCGACTTTAGATGTTAGGCTTTGGTGCGATGTCTGTTTGGTATTAGGTCCGGATATTCGGCACACCTTTATCAAGGGAATAGGAGTAGCAACAACGTTGCCAAGATGATGGCTTCGGACTTATTGATGTATCACCTTGCATGATTTTTGTGAATAATTAATAATATGACTGCATGCATCGTCCAAATGCAGAGGCCGGAGGTACATCCTCCTTTAAAAGAAAAAAAATAAAGCCTAGATGCATACCATGGTGCATTCCAACAACGGGTGGCGCCATGAATCATTCGCCACGTTAAGGATCATTCGAGCAGTGTGCCGTCTTTGTCATACTCACTTTTGATGGAACCTTTGTGTTTCAAAGGTTTACTTCAAGTCTTCTCTGACGGATTAGAGCTGCTGTTCGGCCTTTCTTCTAGCCAGACCTGAACGTTCCCAACTTTCTTGGTAGTAACTAAAATTCTGTAAGCAAGCAGATGACTTATGTCTCATACGTGCCTTTCGTACACACTTTGAACACAAGCAATATGAAGAAGCCTCTTCGGGTATGAATGTATTAAATATCTATCTATCTACTCTACTTTATTTTTATTAATAAAGAAAATAGATATTCTTGGCCCGTCATTGCTATTGTATAGAAAAAACCCTGAAGTTTTCAATAATCAATCTATATCAATCTATAGGCCAGTTTGACCAGGAGGTGCTCGCGATCCGATCTAGAGCTGCCGCCGGACCCTTCCTCCCTACCCCCGCTCCCGTGCAGTGCCGCCGCGCTGCACCGGGGCGTCGGCGCCTCCCTCCTCCGGCCCCCCCGCCACCACTCTCCTCTCCATCGCCGTCGGTGACGCCGCCAGTGCAAAGCCCGAGCGGCTCGGCGGCGGCGGTCTTCTGCTCGCGCGTGGCACGTCAGCTGCTCAAGATCGACGCGGCGGTTCCGATCTTGATCTTCTTGGCGGTGATGGCGGACAACGGTGGCTGGAGTGTGGCAGCGGGTCTGTAGTCGCAGCGGGTGGCGGCGACGGCGGCCATGTTGTAGTCGCTCAACCTCCGGTTCGGCTTCGGATCGCGGTGGCGCTCCTGGTCTTGATCTGCATCACGCGGGCACCCGGGACGGCGACCCTGGACTTGGCGGTTGTGTTCATCTCCTACGTCGGAAGTGGTCGGCCTGAGACTGGGTGAGCAGATCTCGAGATCTGCAATCTAGTCCCGGCTGCGAGTCGGGCAGACATAGTTGCCGGTGAAAACCGAGCCGACGGCGGACGATGGCGGTGGTCTGCGACGTTACCTTGATGAAGGCATCGTCCTGTAACTACTGTCCCCCCACTCGTGCTGGTCCTAGTAAAGTCCTCTAACATAGCAGTGTCTTTAACAAACTCAGCATTGACCTGTTCCACTCCCGAGAGCATCTTTTCACTGGTTAATTTTTTCTCAAGAAGTAGCTTCCTAGTTTCCCCCTCAGCAATTAAATT